GGGGAGGGCGATTGAGAACTGAGAATGAGTTCAGGGGCTTTAATGATTTTATTTCTAGAATGGGGATGCAGGAGTTGCCTCAGTTGGGGCATAACTTCACTTGGGGGAATAATAGAGGGGAGGAGGGTTTTGTTGAAGAAAAAATAGACAAAATCTTTGTGTCTTTTGACTGGCTTGCAGATCACAACAATGCAGAGGTCTCTAACTTTTATAGAAGCTCATCTGATCATAGATTACTGCTATTGACTGATGATATTGCCAGAGCCAAGAACCAGTGGAGGAGATTTTCTTTTGATAAAAGGTGGTTGCAAAGGGAGGGTGTCCAAGAAGCAGTTCAAGAGGGTTGGCATGCTGATCTTGAAGGAACTCCTATGTTCAAAGTTTCAGAGAAGATCAAAAGCACTAGAGTGGCTTTACTCAAGTGGAGTGCATTATTCAGAAAAGACCAGATCCAGAGGAAGAATGATTTAACCAACACTTTGGAGCTGATGAGTACTTTGGGTGCAGACAGAGACTAGTTGGAATGGGACAGGCTCAGGAGAGAATTGGATAGAGTTACAAAAGCTGAAGAAGAGTACTGGGCTCAAAAGGCAAGAATCCAGTGGATTAAAGAGGGGGATTCAAATACAAGGTATTTTCATGCCTTGACACTACAAAGGAGGAAACTCAACTCCATCACCAGGCTTGTGGATGACAACAGCCTTATTCTGGAAGACAAGGAGGATATCAAAAACCATATTTGCTCTTACTATGAAAGGCTGTTCAGATATGAGAACTCAACAGGAGATGCAGACATCTTGCACCTCATTTCACCTTCTATATCTCCTGAAATGAATGACTCTCTTATTGCCCTTGTTTCAATGGAGGAGATTATCAGCATTATTCAGTCTTAACCCTGGAAAAGCACCCGACCTTGATGGTATGAGTCCTTTATTTTTTTCAAAAATTCTGGGATGTTATCTCTCATGACTTTGGCCAAGCTATCATTAGTTTTTTTGAATCTGGGCAATTACTGAAGAACTGGAATCACACCCTTGTATCCTTAATTCCAAAGTGTTTGAATCCTATGTCTATCAAGAATTACAGACCAATTAGCCTTTGCAATGTTGCTTATAGAGTTATTGCAAAAATTCTGTCTTTAAGAATCAAACCTTGTCTGGCTAATTGTGTTTCTGAGAATCAAGCTGCATTTATACCTGGTAGACAACTTTTGGATAATGTGGTCATAACTCAAGAAGCCATTCATTATTTGAATAGACTTAGAACTGGAAAGAAAAGTTTTATGCTGATTAAACTTGATATGGAAAAAGCATTTGATAGAATTGAATCGGGAGGTGTCAGAAAGGTTATGCTTAAGATGGGCTTTCATGCCAAATTTGTTAAATGGGTGTGGGCATGTATATCTTCCACTTCTTTTTCTCTGAACTTGAATGGTGAGGTGCAAGGCCACTTTAAAGCTTCTCGAGGTATTAGACAAGGGGACCATTTGTCCCCTTATATCTTTATCCTCATTTCAGAAATCTTCTCTAAGCTTATCTTTGCTGAAGTGAACAGAGGGAGGTTTAAGGGGCTAAGAATTACCAAGAAAAGTCCTGTTGTGTCCCACCTTATGTTTGTTGATGACACTCTAATTCTTTGTGAGGCTGATAGGAGTCATGCCACAGTTCTGTTGGATTTGCTCCACAAATACCAAAATTTTTCAGGGCAGAAAGTCAATCTCAGTAAGTCTTCCATCTTTTTCAGTAAAAACTGCTTGCACTCTACTCAAATAGTCATTTGCCAACTGCTGGGAGGAATTCAAGTTCACAGATCCACCAGATACCTAGGCCTCCCCCTAGGTATTGGTAGGTCTAAGAAGGAATCTTTTGACTATATCATTAATGCAGTCAGAACTAAACTTGTGAGTTGGAAGAACCAATACATGTCCTTTGCAGGGAAAGAGGTGCTCTTGAAGGCTGTCTTGAGTGCATTTCCTGTTTTCTCTATGTCTTGCTTTTGCCTACCTAAAGGCATTTGCAAAGAAATTTCAAGGTTGTTTGCAAGTTTTTGGTGGGCTATTATTGAGCATCATGCTGGTATTCATTGGAGAGGTTGGAGAAATGTTACTGTTCCCAAGGATGGAGGAGTATTGGGATTAGGGATGTTGCCTTATTCAATGAGGCACTCATCCTTAAGCAAATTTGGAGAATCACCACAAATCTCAAATTGTTGATTTCTAGAGTCCTCAAGGGAAAGTACTATCCTAATTGTTCTGTGCTGCAAGCTACAAAGCCTTATAATACTTCATGGCTCTGGTGTAACTGGCTGCTAGTGAAAGACAAGTTCAAAGACCATTTCCATGTGATGGTGAGATCAGGGGAAGGTACAAATATTTGGACTGACCCTTGGATTCCAGGTTTAATGAACAGAATGCCGGAGAAAAATGATGTCGGAGTGAGCCAGGTTACTTTGGTCAATGAGCTGATTGAAGGAGATGGCAGAACTTGGGACAAACAGAAAGTGGAGAATGCCTTCAACTCTACTGATGCAGCTGCAGTGTTGCAAATCACAACTCTTGATCCTCTTTTGAAAGACAAATGGATTTGGGCTCTTGATGACAAAGGTAAATTCTCAGTTTCTAGCTTATATTCATTTCTGGTCATCAAAAAGTTGAGGGAAATGGATGTTGCTGAAAGTAGTGGTTCTGCTGCTATTGAAGAAAGAGTTAGAATCAGAAGCTGGGGTCTTAAAATTAAGCAAAAGCTCAAGCACTTTTTATGGAGATGTTATTCTGATACTCTCCCTGTTAGCATGAATTTAAGAAGAAGGGGTTTGGATTTTAATCCAATTTGTAAAAGCTGTGGGGAAGAGATAGAAACAATAGAGCACATGCTTTTGTTGTACAATAGAGCTAAAAGAATCTGGAAATTATCTCCATTACAATGGGAAAATTCAGCAGCACCTGTTTCTTTCAAGCATTGGTGGTGGGAGGTATGTTCTGTGGACAAAAAGGATATTTCAGAAGCCAGGATAGAGTTATCTACTTACATATTATGGTGGCTATGGAAATCCCGTAACCTGTGGAAGTTTCAAGATACTTGGATGCCAGATCATGCTATTGTTCAAGCAGCTTCAGGTGATTGGCAGGAGTTCAGAAAATGCAGGTGAAAAAGACAATAGCAGTGAAGTTAGTGGAGGAGATCTAGGTCATTTCTGGTTCAGTAGTCTCTTTTCTAGCTTATTTCTGTCATCTTCTGGTGCTTAATGGTCCATTTGTTGTATTTTTGAACTCTGCTTGGTTATTTGCTATAGGTTTCCAGTTTATATTGCTGCCTATAGTATTGGTTTGTTCTTCTTGAGTCTAGGTCACCTTGGGGGTGGGCTCCTTTGTATTGTTTCTTGATTTTTCAGACTCCGGTCTGTCAGATTGTACATTTTATTCAATGAATGTAATCTATCGTTTTGAAAAAAAAAGTAAGTCAAACTATCTACTCATCAACTTCTTTCAATGTCTATAGATTTTTTTTTAATGTTTATAACCTAAAAAATGAAATTAATATTTTACCGTGATTGTAATATAATATTGAAATAAATTTAAATCTTTTGTAAATGAAGAATTTTTGCTCATCACTTCAAGACAAGTTCACAAATAGAATAAAAATATATTAAAATTGAAACTTTATTGCATGTAAGTTGTGTTTTAGAGAGATGTTAGTTGAAAGTTAAACTATTGCATATTGAATTTATGATCTTTATATGATTTATGATGATCCGAAATAAATTTGAAAAATTAGTTATAGACCAAGTTAACTTAAATCAAATTGTTGTGATTCAATGTCTTATGTTGTAGAGAGACTCGTCTCCTTTATCCAATATTCGCCCAAATCAAACCCTCGTCCCTCTTATCCGAAATTCGTCATTTTGTGCCTCCCTCAGCGGCCGACCGAGCTTGTCGGTGGACGGCCCTCCGCTGTGTTGGGATCTATGAGGATCTCGTTATGTACAAGTCACGAATCCAATATCAAACGTAAACCTATACGCAACGGATCTAAATGTTTGACGTAAAAAACTTACGGCTTAAAATTTATTTGAATCTGACGGATTCGAGATGACCGGAACAGCACGTCACGGAATTTTTGGGATCACGAACAAATGGCGGGGATTGATGGCCATGGAGTCCGATGGTAGTCGGGATGTCGCAGGCTGACTCGTAGAGCTCAGTTGTATCGCGGCGATCATCTGGCAGGCTCTGGTCGGCGGATCGCGGCCTTCGAGTCGTGGTTCGTCGACTCCTATAGATATCTGAGGTTGATGAATATATGGCTCGATTACATTGAGATCTTCTATTGTATTACTCATACACCTTTTCGACTTGCACCGGTGGAGCAACAAGAAGAAGATAAAGCTCGAACAGAAAACTGAGAGAGAGAGAGGGAGAAAGAGAGATAGAAAGACCCGCGCGTGTTGTATATCACATGTAGAAGAATTCCGATCTCTTCTTATCTTTTCCACGAGGTTAATGATGTATATATAGAGCTACAGTAGAGATCCTTAAGAGAACTGGTATAAGGCTTCTTAAGTAATGGACTAACTGTGGGTCTGACCCACTCCTCCAATTACTTAAATAATATTACGGTCCACTAACGTAATATTATTGCACTCCATTTTTCTAGCCCAACTTACATTTGAGACTCCAATAATAATTACCCGAATTACCTCCTCATGTTTAAGATATAATGTCCATTAATTAATTTGATTATTAATAATAAAGAATTAATTAATGTATTACATTATCAAAACTAGCGGTCTTTCATTGCATTATTATTATGCCGGAACTTAATCCAACTATAGGGTATAGTATATCTATCCTTACATAGCTCACTTCAGGGACATCATCAAACTAACACACATGGTGACTGTAAATATCCTAACAACACATCCTACATGGAACAATATTACCCAAGACAATAAGAATATTAGTCCAATGAACTGAACCTCACCCAAGTGAATCAAAGTATTAAATACTACATATATGATGTTTAATATCTTACGGGTTAAGAGGACGCAGTTATTAACTGAGGCCTATTTCTTTTACAATGATCAGTATAAAACGAACTTCTCTCATCTTGGATCTTGTTCAATACATATAACGTACTAGTGCACTAATCAGTCAAGATCAACTGTACTGTTGACACTACAACCATTCTGATGGGTGTTCATTTTCATCTAGATTGTGGAACTCATAAATCTTATTTCGCAATTCACTGATAAAATGATCTTCGGTTCACCCGCTAATGAACCATTTTATTTAATTGCAAAACAACAAAACATGAAACTTGTTTAATCGAACATGATTCTCATTCATAAAGAACAGAAGTGTAGTATCATCTAAAGTCAAGCTTTGAATATATAACACCAACAATCTCCTACTTATACTTAAAGCTTTCACTTTTACAAGTGTAGTCCTATCAATCCGTTATTCTAAAAGACTTATTTAATCCTATCACCATACACCTGACACTCATTCCTTCCACGTGTTTGACGAAGACCTTCTCTGGAAATCTCTTCGTGAAAGGATCAGCTAGGTTGTCCTTTGATTCAATCGTGGCAACATCGACATCTCCTCTACCCACAATATCTCGTATCAGATGGTACTTGCGCTCTATGCGTTTGCTTGCTCTGTGGGCTCGTGGTTCCCTTGAGTTTGCCACTGCTCCACTGTTATCACAGTACACGGTGATACCACGTGACAAACTCGAAATCATCTCTAATTCCACTAAGAAGTTCCTGAGTTAAACTGCCTCTGAGGTTATCTACTCGACTTCCATGGTGGAGGCTGCCACGCAATTATTCTTCGCACTCTTCCATGAAATGGCTCCACCTTCCAAGGTAAACACATAACCTGAGGTTGACTTACTCTCGTCACTGTCTGACTGAAAATCAGAATCACTGTAACCCATAGGTAACACGTTGTCTGCACGGTAAACTAACATGTACTCTTTAGTCCTCTTCAGGTACTTGAGGATATGTTTCACCGCAGACCAATGTTCCCGTCCTGGATTACTTTGATATCTAGCTACAATGCCAACGGCGTAGCTAATATCCAGCCTCGTACACAACATAACATACATAATACTTCCTGCTGCTGATGCATAAGAGACTGTCTTCATGTCTTCTAACTCTTGAGATATCGTAGGAGACATCTCCTTGGATAGACCTATTCCATGTCTGAAAAGTAACATACCTTTCTTGGAATCATGCATGTTGAATCTAGCCAAGACAATATCTACGTTTGTTGATTGGGATTAGCACAACATTCTCTTCTTAGGGTCTCGGATGACCCTATCACCAAGAATGTGTCCTGTTTCACCTAAGTCTGTCATATCAAACTGTTTAGACATCCACACATTCACGTCTGACAACTTCTTCTTATTGTTTCCCATAAGAAGTATGTCGTCTACGTAAAGCACAAGAAACACCACCATGCTCCCACTGATCTTCTGTGCATGCAGTGTTCATCCGGACACTGAGTGAACCCGTACGACTGGATCACCTCATCAAAATCGGATATCCGAAGATCTCGAAGCTTGCTTCAGTCCATAAATAGACTGATTAAGCTTACACATTAGATGCTCCTGTCCCTTAGCATTAAATCCCTTTGGTTGTTGCATATAGATGCTCATACGAATGGCTACTGGCGAAAAGGTCTCATCATAAACTATACCCTCTTTTTAGGTATAACATTTTGCAATTAGCCTAGCTTTGATGGTTTCAACCTTCCCATCTGATCCTCTCTTTCTCTTATAGACCCACTTGATATTGGTGTATATATTGAAAGCTTGGCTTTAGATGTATTTACATTGAACCCTTTTGAATGAGAATCATGTTTAATTAAACAAGTCCATGTTCTACTGTTTTGCACTTAGATAAAATGGTTCATTAGCGGGTGAACAAAAGATCATTTTATAGTGACTTGCGAAACAAGAATAGTGGTTCACAACCTAGATAGAAATGAACAAACCATCATGAACGGTTGTGGTGTTAACCGTACAGTTGGTCTTGACTGATTAGTTACACTAGTACACTTTGTGTATGGAACGAATTCCAGAGAGGAGAAGTTCGTTTTATACTGATCCTCGTTAACGAACTAGACCTCGATTAATTATTGCATATTATTAACCCGTAAGATACAAACAGACATGTGCATGCAGTAAATATTACTTTGATTCATTGCGTGAGATTCTGTTTACTGGATCAATATACTTACTGTTTTGGGTAATATTATTGTATGTACAATATGATGCTAGAATATTTACGGCCACAGTGTGCGATAGTTTGATGATGCTCCCGATATGAGCTCATGAAGGGTTATTATGTTAAATTTGGCAGTGGAATTTATTTTGATATAATAATAATGATATGAGTGGTACTAGTCTCGGTTATAGATGTCGATTAATTTAATTATCGGTAATTAAATTAATTGATGGACATTATATCTTAAACATGGAGAGATAATTCAAGTAATTATTATTGGAGCCTTAAATATAATTTGGGAATTACATTGAGAGTTTATTCAATAATACTACTTTAGTGGAATGGATGTATTATTCCTATTTGGGTTTGGTAGGTTGGCCTATAGTCTAATCCTAATAGGAGAAGCCCAATTTAATACATCTTTGGAGTCTCTGTTGTAGCCTATAAGTACATCACATCTCTTGGGATTAGATGTGCAAATATAATTCACGTGAGACACACGATCAGATGAGAGACGCCGGCCCCCTGTTCTTTCTTCTCTCTCTTGTGTTCTCTTCTTCTTCTTCTTCTTCTTCTTCAAGTAATCCCAATAGAGATATCTCCGGTTTTATCGCCCATCAAGATGATCGGAGAAGATGTCGGGTCATACAACAAAAGATCAAAGGTAGTCGAGCAATTTATATATATTTATCCAACCCCGTGATATATATATATATATATATATATATATTCAACCCTCCAACGTTTTTATAACTCGCGGTTTTGTCCATTCTTCACAAAAGAGCAAGAATTAGGTCAATCGGATGTATTGTTATTAATCGACAACCATCTCATGACGATCAACACTTTCCTACAATCTTCCGGTCAAGTTCCCGCGACTACCAACTAAGGAGGCTGGGCAGGCGAGCTCCGGCAAGCCACAACCGGACATAAGGGCGGCCAGCTGCCGCTGGAGTCGCAACACAGCCCACCAGGAAATCGCACACAGCCCATCCGAGCAGTAGAGGAAGCCCGCAGCGTGAAGCCCAGGTGTCACGCGACCCAGGTGACGAGGAAGCCCAACGCGGAGGCCCATCAGGTGTCAGATCCAGCACGCGGTCCGCACATCCCGCGCGACCCGCTTCTCCTCACTGCAGAAGCTCGCACGCCTGTCAGCCAGCTCCGCAGCCCAAATGCTTGCAACGTGGCCCACAAGCGTCCAGCTTGTCCCAATGCGCGGCCCACCAGCGCTAGCCGGCCCAGACCTGACCAGACTCGGTCCAACTGGCTCTTAGCAGTTCGGTTCGACCTAAATTCGGTCCAGACCGGTTCAACAAGTGTTCAGCACCCGGTTCGAGTCCATGTTGAAGTCCGAGAGGTTTGATCAAGTCAACAGAGGTCTGAGATGATCCGACTTGGATGGTGAGCGATCTTATGATGATGGTGAGTCTAGTGTGGCTGCCCAACGGACATGAGACTCAGACGATCTTCAACAACGTAAATCTTAAACGTCTGAGTGTCGGCATAAATATTAAATGGTACTCACTGGACCCTTGCTTCTAGTTCCACTGTGCTTAGGGTTTAATTTGTAGATAGTCCGTGACTTGCATAATTTCGAGATCCTAACCAGTCCCAACACTTGCATCCAATGGGTCGTACCCCATCGAGCTGTTCTACAAGATCCCGGACCAGATTGGAGTCCGTTGACCCCATATCAGCTTTCATTGCAACAGTCCATGAATCTGCATCTTTATCTTGGAGTGCATCGTGATAAGTCCTTGCGTCTGATTCTAGATCTCCTGGAACTGAGTTTGATGTGTAACGCCCCACTTTGATTTTAAAGAAAATTCCGGACATTTCCAAAATCAATATAAACTTTCAAAATTCATCTTTTGATTTCAACATATTTAAAAGGTGCTACCATTCCATTTATAACATAGTCCAAGTCATATTGGAACTTTCGGGGATTCATTACTCGGTATTTCACATGGATTTTATTATCCCAAAATCGATTCAACATGCTATTCAACATAAGCATATCAACACAATAAACCAATTCATCAGATTTCATAACATAGAATTTAATAGAATTTAAACCAGCTCATAGGGTTCAAAAATCAATCCACATAATCAACAGTTTCAAAACTTCGCAGTTTGAAAAACCAATTCAACATGCTCAACATAAAAGCAGAGCAAATAACATAAATGTAGACCAGTCACTCGTCCCCTCGTCGTCATGCCTGCCACCTGCTCAACCTGGGATGGGGGGTGACATGGGAGTGAGCACAAAACTACTTGCTCACCGCTATGCACATAAATTAAATATAAAATGACAGATATGTATGGTCTCAGCATGAACACGAATCAATCATATATCCCATCTTCTAATCATCATGATACTCATGTGCACATCTATCATTTGCTACCGATAGTCTTTTCGAAGGCCTTGCCATGGGTCTCACATCGTCACCCAAACAGTAGGAGTACATGTCGAAGAACTCGCCATGGGTCTAACATCGGCACGACCTATCATTATGACTTGGGGAGACTGTCTCTCATTAGGCCCGTATAACTTTGACGGGGACAACCGTGCCGACGGCCAAAACGGCACACATCGACAAGCTACATGGTTCACACACATATATTGATCATACCGACCAACAAAGTATAGACAATTTATGGCATAGAAATTTAGAATAACCCACCTGGACACTAAAACAGGAATAATGATCGGACAACAGTATAGATTGAGAGCTTGGCTCGTCAGACACCTACATTTATATCAAGATAGAATTATAAATATACTACCTTGACACTTAGAATTATTTACGAGAATTCACACTTAGTCGAACATCATCGACTAAGTAGTTCATGGAAATTTTGTGGAGTTTGGAACACTTGTATTTGATGACTAGACTCGGAACAATCTTTTAAACATATAAAATAAATAGACTCAAAATGGGACCAGAAAACTAGAGATTGACCCTTAAATCAACTCCTAACCAGTTCAAATAATTTTCGCAAAAACCAGAGGAAAACGAATATTTTATGGTTCCATATGCTACAAGATGAATTTTCCTTTGAAATTTTTACCACATACTAAACATTATTAAAGACCCTATTTCCCAGAAAATCACTCAATTTCAGAAACCCTATGATATTTACATGAATTTTGAAGAAACAACCCAAAACCACAAGAAATCAGTTCACATAGCTATCATTCGAATTTTGACCTGAACATTTTATGAAAGTGACTATACCAGTAGAGAGTTCAATCGTAAAAATGTCAAGCAAAAAGGCCAAGTATTCGATTTTTAACAATATTTTAAAGAATTAGGGCAAAATCATCAAATCATGGTTCAAGTATCTATACATCGAGTTAAATCTTGAAATTTTAAACACATGCACATCACTATAGTAGAACACAAATCCCAGAATTGCAATCAATTTGGACGTGCCTATCATTAAATATGTTTTTTCAAACTTTTAAAGCAAAAGACACATGCTTCAGTTCACATCGCTACAGATTGAATAAAAATCTAAAAGTTTAACACAACATTCCTACACATATCAGGAGGTAGTCATCCAAATTTCACGTTGTTTGGTTTATCAAGATTACCAATTTCAGCGGCATGGGCAATTTTCAAATATCCACAAAGGCATTCACACTCAAATAATTCGACTTAGGGCTTTTATATCAGCCCTATGTCACACCAAAGTTCAATTTTCCACAAGATATCTACGAGATATATCAAGGTCTATTGATTTCTGCATAAAATCAAATAGTTCTCAATTTTGATCGCATAAATCCGATACCACTCAATCAATAACATATATAAATTAAAACACACATAAAAGGGGATGTTCCAGCCATATATTACCGTACACCTCGAATTCACACAAAAATCTGATTGAACAAGGGAAAGGGGGCGATCGCAGCGGCTTCGCGCGGCTCGATCGTGCACGGGGCGTTTGGCGTGCGATCTCAGGCCATTGTGGCAGAGGGCAGCGAAGGGGACTCTGGAGTGCTGAAGCGGCTCGTGGGAGAATCGAACAGAGGCCCAGGGTGTGGTCCGTGCACGGGGAGAGGCCCCCGTTGATGGTAGGCGCGTGTTCAAGCAGTTGTAGTGGCCGCCGGAGGGGCCGTGAGTCACCGAGAGAGATGGATTGATGATGGCCATGGGATTTTGGTGTTTCTCTGATGGTTTTGTGAGAAGGGAGCAAAGAGGAGAGTGGGGAGGGGGTGGCGTCGCACAAGAGAAGAGAGAGGGAGACTTGGAGGAAAAGAAAGCTCCATATATTTAATACAAGGCATAAGAGAGCTATGGTTTTCAAAACATGCCATATAAGGCACATGAGATGAGAGAGAATAGGCATGCGACTAAGGGTGAAGGGCTCAGGTCTATCCCTTTTAGCTCAATGCATTAGGAAAAATCCAGTTTTAAAGGAAAACGAGCTCACAATTTGCAAAGGCCGGGATGCTCGGCTAGGGCTCGCGGGCCAAGGGTTGGGTTTCTTGCGGCTTAAGGGCCGAAGGCCACCTAAAGGGCCGAACATATATTATGGTACAAGGTCCCGTTTGATAGCTCAGAAAAATAACGAGAACAGCTCGATAAAAGCATTACGCGATTGAACCGAAAGTCCGAACGACGAAGGACGATGAACGATAAATAACTTCGAACGAGCACATATAATTATATTATGCATTCAATAATACAATAATGCACAATTAATTAGAGCATTGAAAATGAAATAAAATGCCAATAAATCATAATCCAGAAAATCCATAATCCAAACGGATTAAATTCGTTTCATGCGATCAAACCGAAATCGCCGAAAGACGAACGTTTTAAATAAAACGATCGAGTACTTAAATATAATTGAAGTACCAAATATTGACGACTTCACAACCAATAATAATAGACATAAATCAATACATAAAATCCGATAAATAGAATAATTCGAGAATTTCTTTAAATTGAACGGGGCGCTACACGATGACGCTCCAAGACCTATCCATCGATAGGGTAAATAAGAAACCCTCCCACTACGACGAGATACTATATGCACTGGTACACTCTCAGTGTGCCGCGTTGCAGTATTATGTGATGAGTCTACTTGTGCACTCGGTGGGGAACTATCAACTTCACTCCTCAACTCCTAAGAGATAAGTCTGCTAGCGAGCTTGTGATCCATAATATAGTCTTCTTCTCAGAATCTAACGTTCGTAGTAACAATTACTTTTTGATCCTCGAGAGTATAAAATAATCCACCTTTTGTTTCCTTGGGATAGCCAACAAACATTCGTTCTTCCGAACACTTCTCCAACTTGCTAGCCATCTACACCAAAACGTGTGCAGGGTTACCCCATACCCGAATATGTGAAAACCTGGGCTTACGCCCTTTCCACAATTCATAAGGAGTAGTCTCTACTGACTTCGATGGAACCAAGTTTAGAATATACGATGTTGTTTCCAGCGCCATACCCCAAAACGAATCTGGTAAACTTGAATAACTCATCATTGACCGAACCATCTCCATAAGAGTCCTATTACTTCACTCTGCAACCTCGTTCTGTTGAGGTGTGCCGGCGTGCAGTCAGTTGGGATTCAATCCCAGCTTCTGTTAAGTATATCCTAAACTCTCCAAAGAGGTACTCGCCACCTCGATTAGATTGAAGTGACTTGATACTCCAACCATGATACTTCTCCACAACTGTCCGATACTCCTTGAATTTCTCAAAGCATTCAGACTTGCGGTGCATCAGGTAGACGTACCCATATCTCGAGTAATCATCAATGAATGTGACAAAGTACTCGTAACCACCTCTAGCCTGGATCGACAAAGGACCACACAAATCAGAGTGAATCAATCCTAGCACTTCTTGGCTCCTATACCCCTTTGCCGAAAATGGCCTCTTGGTCATCGTACCTTCTAGGCATGAGTTACAAGTTTAACAACTATCTTCTAGTGGACCGAGATGTCTGCTAGATACCAACTTTTGAATCTTTCTAAGGTTGATGTGCCCAAGTCTAAGGTGCTAAAGATATGTTTGATTCATCTGCGAAGACTTCTTCTTCTTCTTATTAGATTTAGCCAAGACATTATTCAATTCAATTTGTTGTACTGTGGGATAGTTTGGTTTAAGTACATACAAATTGCCAACTAATGAACCATAACATATGAAATGATTTCGAAGACGAATAATAACTATATCATCAAACAAAGCAGAAAAACCATCCAAAGAAAGTCTAAAAACTGAAACATGGTTCTTTCTAAAACTCGGAACATAAAGACAATGTCTTAAAACTTAACTACTACTATTAAAAGACAATGTAACGTCTCCCACTGCAACAGCTGCTACTTTCGTGGCATTGCCCATGTAGACGGTGATCTCTCTCTCCTTCAGTGGTCTGGTTTCTTGAAACCCATGCAAAGAATTGCAGACCTGATCAGTGGCTCTAGTATCCACACACTAGGTACCGGTAGATACAACCGCTAAACATGTTTCTACGACATAAACAAGAGAGTTACCTTCTTTTCCCTTCTTGAGGAGAAGGTAGTTAAGCTTCTAGTGTCTTGACTTGTTGCACTTATGGCATCTTCCATTCGGTTTCTTTGCCAAAACCTGAGGGGGCCGGTCGCGGGGAAACCGGAGCGCCCTGTGCCTTCGTCTTTCCTACAGACTTCTTTCTCTTCTTGCCCTTGTAGAGCCTAGAAGGTCCAGCCTGCTCGGCGACGAGAACCTGAGTCTCCTGAGTGAACAAGGCTTCTACCATATGCATCTTGTGCATGTTGTAGTTCAACCAAGACTGATCAAAGCTCTTCAGCAGGAACTGAAGAATAATATCAACTTGGGTTTCCCCGTCAATAAAACTTCTCATAACCTCCAGCTCATTGAGTTGCGCCATAACTCTTAGGGCATGCTCCCTCACGGGTATGCCTTCGGTCATAAGCGTGTTCATCAGAGCACTAAGGCTTCCTGCCTAGCAGCCCAAGACTGATGCGCAAACAGATCCCTGAGATTAAGGAGCATTTCTGCCGCGGTGACCATGGACTGATGTTGATCTTGAAGAACATTCGACATAGATGCCAGAATGTAACACTTCATCATCTCATCAGCCTTCTTCCACCGGGCATACTTCTCTTTCTCTTGATCCAGAGCGTTGGCCACGGGCACTGTCGGGCGAGCATTAGTGATCACATACTTATAACCCTCAGTAGTCAACACAATGTCTAAGTTCCTCTTTCAATCAATATAGTTAGGACCAGTAAGCTGGTTTTCTTTTAGAATGACAGATAATGGATTGAACAACATGATAAATATTGCCTGAGAATCACGAAAATAATTGAAATAACCCGTTATGTTATTAATATAAATTACGCGTTTAGTTCCGAAATAATTATTTTATTGATTATTATCGTTCAGAACTAATTATCCAAGTCAAGATTCTTCGAAATTATTTTTTTGAAGTCATGTTTATATTCGGAATAATTTTAGTATTTAATTTCATGTATTATAATTTAAATATATGTTTAGTGACTAATGATCATTTTTTAGCCCAATTATGTCATTGATGGTGCTTAAGAAAGGGTTAATTGTCCAATTACGTAAGCTTGGTTGTAACCTTCACGTGAAGATTATCATCATGCATCTTAGCATGAGGTGGCTTCTTTATAACCCTCTAAGTAATGACTAAGCTTTGTAGTAGATGATTAAGCACTTCTTAAGTCCTAAACATCTAGCAAATGGCACGCATCTATTGGACAAAAGATTTTCACCTCTTCATTAAGTTCATCCGTTCATTTAAATTGAGAGTTGGGATGGAAATTTATCCTACACTCAAATAACATTTTAAGCTATAGTTAAAGAGAGTAAGTGAGAGTTTAGTCAAGCACCGCACGGAGAAGCTAACGCACGCACGGGAGCACCAAGGCCGAGCCATCACGAGAATTTTTCACGATCAACCGAGTGATTGAAGAGGTAATCACTTGTTGATCCTCTTTCTAATATAATATGATCATGTTCAGTTTGAGTCATGGTAGCCAAGTTCATTAATTAGTCTTAATTGCTCTCGGTCGTACCCATTTAGCCATGTCGAGCGATGTTCGTTTTTATTCCGAAACTCTCGAGCAATTTTCGTTTATTCAGACAATATATGCCATGTCATATTCAGTTAAGTTAGGTTTGTCGAGGAAAAATCATTGTTGTGCCGAGAGTTGGTCAAAGCCGTCGGGCACCGCACGTAGCGGAAGCCACGACCCTTATTATTGCTCGAGTTATGTTCATAATCATCCGACCGCTTTATGTATAATTATTGATGTTATAATCAGTTATGTTGATTCATGTGATAAACGGTCGGAAGAATTGTCAAGTGGCCGAACATATCGACCGTAGCGTCGGGTGACGCCTACGCGCACGCTACAATTATTTTCCGAGCCATGTCAATGTCTTTCTCGTGCAATTTCATGGGATTGTGTGGTTATGATCGTGTCATGTTATATCATGTTGGTTCATGTTGAAATGGTCGGGAGAAATCGCCGGACGGCCGACAAAGGCCGGTCGTGGTCGCGCTGCCC